ACAGCTTTATGGCAACTTTCTACTCCTCTCCTTGGACAACATAGGAGTAAGTAAGACTCCAGATAATACCTCCTTCCCAATATTAAGCTACCACCAAACCTCTAAATTGTTTATTAACAGTTCACAAACTTCTTCCCAGACATCACCTGAATGGATCAAATTTTCTTGGTCTCTGTTCTCCCAAATTAGATTCAATCTAGCATACCATACCCCTCCCTATCATAAGGAACTCCTTTCCCGATATTTGGTTCTTCATCTCTGCCTTGGACAACTAGGGGCCAAGGCATATAGATCTAACCTTACCAGCACCAGATAAGACTTGTGTAACTGTCATATCATTAATGAATCAGAAAGTTCACATTTTTACAACCCGAAAGCTGGTTTTGATGAAATCAAAACACTATGGTCGAATTCAGCAAACAAGCAATTGATATTAGCACCCACTATCTCCAACTCTCAACATATCCATACCAAAAAAATGAACAAAAATATATACATCCACCGTCTTTAAATCCCGACTTCGTTTCTACAGGCAACATTTGAAGAAATCACCAACAACACCATACCCAGCGTAATCCCACAAGTGGAGTTAGGGGAGGTTAGGACGTACCCAGACCTCATCGCTACCTTCGTGTATTGACTCCTAAAGAAATCAACCACAACAACAACAGTGTAATCCAACAATGCACGCACACCTTATCACTACTTTAGTGGGGTAGAGAGACTGTTTCGGATTGACTCACCACGAAATCAATCTCTAAAATTACCAATATACAGTAAGCTTTAAACCCAAAATGGAAAAACTAAGTAATTGACTTAACATATAAACCCAAATTTATTGGAAAAAAGGGAACAAACAGCTCAACATACTTGTTTCGACAAAGGACCTGAAGATTTCAACTCATCACGAACAAGATCTCCGGTAGCAATATGAGGAACGCCTAAAAGGGTTGAAAGACGGCTAGCATATGTACCTTTTCCGACACCGGGACAACCCAAAAAGACCCATTGGACAGTTTTAGCCTTGGGATCAACACTTGTAGAATGGGGATTATGAGGGTAAGATTGGGATTTCACTGTCTCAGATGCAGCTGCTGTAGATAAAGATCTACTGATAAGGGAAATTGAATTGGATGAGGAAGATGATGAAGATCTGAACAGGCGGATCATGGCCGCCATTGCCGGAAAATTCTCCCGGAGTTATTTTTCTTGGGAAGTATGAAGAGAAAAGTGAGAAAGGGGAGAAAAAGGGAGGCGATTTCCTAGTAAATAGGAAAGAGTGTTGAAAATTTCTAGGTATTAATGATAACGGGTCACATGAATCGACCCGACTTTATCGGGTTGAAGTTGATATTGTGTCGGAGAGGACTATGTCTACGCAATCTTACTCGTATTTAAATGAAGAGAGGTTTCCGATAGACTTTTGATTTAAGTAAATTATCATATCAAAATTTAGTATGAAAAGGACATATAATAATATCAAAATTTAGTATGAAAAGGATATATAATAATAAGAAGTCGTGTTAAAAAGGGGAGGAGAAAGTGATTACACTAACAACTACAAATAATATGGTAATTGAACCAATGGTTCTAGCGAGACAACATATAATAGTCAAATTGAAGACTAAAATAGTATGAGAGTAATAATAATAAAAATAATAGTAATTAAATAATGCTCGATTATTTACTAAATGTTTATCTAAATAAGAGAAATTAAATAATATTCGACTATTTACTACTTTCTCCGTCTCATTTTATGTGGCACCATTTCCTTTTTGGTCAGTCCCAAAAAGAATGTCACATTTCCTAATATAGTAAGTATTTAAAGGTACAATTCCTCTTTTACCCTTGTTGGTCCCACTTAATCTTAAAATAATAGTCCAATACATTTATGAGGAGAGAGAAAAGTGAGTCTACTTTTTAAAGGGCAATTTGATAAACATTTCAAAGTCTTCATTTATTTTTTAAACTCCGTGTCCGGTCAAATGTTGCCACATAAAATGGGACGGAGGGAGTAAATGTTTATCCTGATCTTCGACCTCCATATCTTTCAATCTTAAGTTTATGTTCTCAATAAGTTGTAGGTTTGTTTTGTCTTAGTAAATCTCTTTTCCCTATTTTTTCCGACCTATCTCAAGTTCTTTTCACACACATAATAACCAACTCTAACACCGCTTTACTGGGTATAATGTATATCTCCATTTCACCTATCCAAATCATCTCAATTTCAGCTCTTTTATTTTGTCCACCACAAATATCACTCTCACCTTATTTCAAAAATCGTTTCTAATCTTATATATCCTAATATGCTCATACATCAATTTCAATATTCTTATTTCAATTACTTTCATCTTTCGGACGTATAACTCTCAATTGTCCATTAATTTTTTTGTCAAAGAAAAAAAAATTCCTACTTTTCAAATTATCTATCGTATTTATTTTTTATATAAAAGATTTTTTTTACTATCGTTTGTATCTTAATATATGATCTTTCTTCGTTAAAAAATATTCACTTAGTGAGATGTTTGCCATCAAGAAAATTACTATCAAGCATAAAAAAAAAAATGTTAATTTTATTTTGAATATTTAAATTATTATTTTTTTAAATCGGGATAAATAATTTAAGACGAAAGAAATACCTATTAAGATTATAAATTTTAATACCTTTTTAAAATTTCGTATTTCTAGATTAAAAAAAAAGATGAAAAATAATAGGAGTATTGTTTTTTGTAATATTAACGGTGGTAGGGGTGGGGGTGTCAATTTCTTTTGGATCAACCCGTATTCGTTGGGTCAGGAATTGGAAGACCCGACCAAATTAAATAGGGACTCAATTACCTAATTATATCGATTTTATCCTGATCTTCGACCTCCATATCTTTCAATCTTAAGTTTATGTTCTCAATAAGTTGTAGGTTTGTTTTGTCTTAGTAAATCTCTTTTCCCTATTTTTTCCGACCTATCTCAAGTTCTTTTCACACACATAATAACCAACTCTAACACCGCTTTACTGGGTATAATGTATATCTCCATTTCACCTATCCAAATCATCTCAATTTCAGCTCTTTTATTTTGTCCACCACAAATATCACTCTCACCTTATTTCAAAAATCGTTTCTAATCTTATATATCCTAATATGCTCATACATCAATTTCAATATTCTTATTTCAATTACTTTCATCTTTCGGACGTATAACTCTCAATTGTCCATTAATTTTTTTGTCAAAGAAAAAAAAATTCCTACTTTTCAAATTATCTATCGTATTTATTTTTTATATAAAAGATTTTTTTTACTATCGTTTGTATCTTAATATATGATCTTTCTTCGTTAAAAAATATTCACTTAGTGAGATGTTTGCCATCAAGAAAATTACTATCAAGCATAAAAAAAAAAATGTTAATTTTATTTTGAATATTTAAATTATTATTTTTTTAAATCGGGATAAATAATTTAAGACGAAAGAAATACCTATTAAGATTATAAATTTTAATACCTTTTTAAAATTTCGTATTTCTAGATTAAAAAAAAAGATGAAAAATAATAGGAGTATTGTTTTTTGTAATATTAACGGTGGTAGGGGTGGGGGTGTCAATTTCTTTTGGATCAACCCGTATTCGTTGGGTCAGGAATTGGAAGACCCGACCAAATTAAATAGGGACTCAATTACCTAATTATATCGATTTCGAATATGCCATTGTGCAAGAATATTCTATCTTCTCAACTTTTCTTTACACGTTTTTAAAATAAAAGTTTAGATAGTTTGGTTGCACTTTATAGATATTTTACACCATTTTTGTTATCGACAAGAAAGATAGTTCGAAATACTAAATTTCTGCGACATGCATAGTTTATAAAAATAAAAAAGTTGAACTAAAAAAATTATGGTAAGTTAATAAAATTACGTTTTTAAATTTGAGATTAAAGAATAAAATTACTTTTAATAGAAAATCAGGTACATTGCAATCTCTTTTTTTCAAGTTTTTTTTTTTTTTTTAGTTCTAACAAGTTTGTAAATTCAAATGTATTATTGTGATACATTATTTAAATTTTAAGCTATATTTTTAAAAATACTAGTATTACATTTTATTACTCAACTACTTATAAAAAAATATTAACATGTGACCAAGGTTTAATCTTAAGGATCAAATAAATTATTGTCAGAATTTATAAATTTAAAAAATTAAATTGCTTTCATATAATATGTGGAAAAAATAAATAAATATTGAATATAATATCTTTATTTGAAATTCAAGACAAATAGAAGAAAATAACTCATCCCCGTTCTCCAGCCCAACCTCCTCATCTTTCATCACCCCCACCTTATAATATTTGTTTAGATTTTTATTTATTTTTAAATAATATTTTTTATTTACTTATAAATTTTTAAGAATAAGTAAAAAAATAATTACTAATAATATTTTTTCAATTTATATGTCTTATTTTTTTTAGTTGATCTCAAAAAATGATACATTTCTATGTTAAGTAACAAATTAACTTAAACTTTAAAATGTTTATTTTTATTGCACTTGGGTCGAGAGTCTTTTGAAAATAGTCTTTCAACCTTTACGAGTTAGTGATAAGGTCTACGTACATTCTACCTTTTCCGAACCTCACTTGTGAAATTTTATTGAGTATGTTGTGCTTGCTGAAATAATTATAATCACACAAATATGTATGACTTATTTAGACCATAAGTTTCAAAAAGTATTTCCTTCTTTTTTTAACTTTATGTCAAATTGAATTACCTCACATAAATTATGACAGATGAAATATGATTTCTCTCCTACCAAAAATTAGGCATTCAGTTGAAAAAGTAAGCTTTAACCAACATCAACACCCTTCAACTTTGAACGTGCACAGATAAAATTAAACAAGTGGACATATGTCCTATACATAATACAAATAGAATGTCACGTAGGATACAAATTGTCACGTATTATTTCTAAAAAAAAATTAAGAAGGGGGTATTTAACCACGTGTAAGCTTAGTTGCCACATCTCCAAAAGTTCGGACATTCAAGAATCCTCTGTTTTACACTCTTTACGCCAATGGCGATTTCTCTCAATTCTGGCCTTACTGTTGCAGTTAGCAGAAGTATTCGTCAAACCCCACTTCACAATGTTAATTTGACAACAAACCCATTTAGTTTTAACTGCAATTTCAGCTTAACCCCCAATTTTTCAGCCATTTCTGCCTCCCACAGGTCCTCCTCTGTTATCTACAACTCCACAGGTTAGCTTATATTCTTTGTCTTGTTATAAGTACTCCAATTTTGAGTATGCACCTCAATTCGTATTCATTTTATCAGTTGGATACTCAAATTTATGCGTTACGTCAACGTTGGGTGTCCATGAGATATAGTGGGGACGAGTTGGAGTGTTTAGTTGCTAGTTAACACTAAGTTGAGGTGTTGTAGATGTACACGTTCAAAGTTGGAGTAGTTACGTTCTAGGTGAGGTCAAGTGTAAGTGTTTGTTTATATATTATGTCTAATGATACTATGTGAATTATAGAGGTGGTGTTGGGTGTCCACTAGACATAGAGCAAGTCACGTTAGTGTCGGGTGTCCATGAGACATAGTGGGGGCGTATTGGAGTGTTTAGTTGGTCGTTGAGACTATAAGTTGAGGTATTTAGACGTGCACTTCTAAAGCTGGAGTAGTTACTTGTAAAGTCAAGAGTTTGAGTGTGTGTTTATAAATTATGACTAATGTTATTATGTGAAATATAGAAATAGTACAACTTTATTTATTGTGTTATTCCACCCCTCTCTAGAAGTGGAGTAGATATTTTTAGTTTATGGGTTACGAATCACAATTCATTTCGTATATTGGGTTCTGGATAGATTATTTATACATATTAAACGAATTTTTCGAAACAAATATTGGGTTTGAGTCTAAGTTGCTAGTTACGCCGAACACATAACTAGAGGCGGACCCAAGATTTGAAGGCGACGGGGATACCACTATCTCCAATTGAAGTAAAGAATCAATGAAACACCATAATAAATACGAATTATTTTAGCCAAGACTCGAACTCAGGTTAATTCACGCTCAAGGGCCAAAGCGGCACGATAACCAGATGCCCCAATCCAACAGATATATTTGAGGGGTCCTTTTATAAAATATGATAGTTCTTCAAGGTATATTATAGACATATATACAGAGTTTGTCTCTCAAAGCTTGGGCAGATGAGAAAAAATCACCTAGTGTTTTAGCCTCCGTTGGGAATTGAACATCAGACCTCATGGTTCTCAATACACTTCATTGAATACTAATGATAATTAAGATGTTTAGTTTTGTTAATAAATATTAGAGTACTGGTTGAAATAGGAACTGAGACTCCAGTGGTGAGTGAGGACACCATCAATGTGTTGGACGATGTTCAAGTATTTGATCTGAATGGACAAGGAGTACCTATTTCGGATCTGTGGAAAGATAGGAAAGCAGTTGTCGCCTTTGCTCGTCATTTTGGGTAATCTTTCTATGGCCTTATGCTCTATTTCTTCAAAAACTGGTAATCAAAAAGCATGTTATTGGTGAAGTATGTTCTACTTATTCTAGTTCCCGATTGCAGATGTGTCCTTTGTCGCATAAGAGCTGATTATCTTGCAGCTGAGAAGGTAATGCTTCTTCTTGACTACATTTTTGAAAGTCATCATTTTTTCTTCTTCCAAGTGTTCTGCTGAAACTATCCCAAGGTTCACTAATGTATTTCCAAGGTCCAAATGACTAGTCTTTTAGTATCCTTGTTTGATGTTGGCGAGTTAAGTCGTGGGAATAGCATAAGTTGCAGTATCTATCATAATGTATAGATTTTCCATCGGAAACATTCTCTCTACCTCCCAAGGTAGAGGTAAGGTCTTCATACACACTACCCTCTCCAGACCCCACTTGTGGGATTACACTGAGTATGTTGTCGTTTTAATGTAGATTATGTTATCTTCAATACGTTAAACAAGTTATTCTAACCACAAAGTGACAGTGCACATATCCTTAAGTTCCACCATTACTACAGTTTACATCCTTATACCGTCTTCTGTTCACAGGATAAGATGGATGCAGCTGGAGTTGCACTTGTTTTGATTGGACCTGGTAGTGTTGATCAGGTATATAGCAGCGATGCTTCTTGCACCGAGTTGCTTATCCATGGATTAACTCTCTTTATTCTTTCCCCTTCGAGAAATTTTTTAAACAGTTACTTATCAACAATAACAAAAAAATCTTAAACGGTTATGACACCTTCCATTTTTCTTGTCCCAAGTTACATCATCCCACTTTTAGAAGTTGCTTCTTAACTCTCACAATCATTTTGGGTATGAAGAATAAACGCATAATAGATAAAGAAACGATCAAACTTGGCCTCAGCTGACAAGTATAAGCACTCAAACTTTGAGAGTGGACATCTAGACACCTCAACTTGGTCATAACTGATAACTAAAACTTCAACTTGTCCCCATTGTGTCTCATGGACACCCGACTATGATGTGACACATACATTTTGGAGGTGTCTAGATGATCATTTTTTGAAGTTGGAGTGTTCAACTGGAATAGCGGAGACGAGTTATGGTGTCTAGATGTGCATACTCAAAATTGGAATGTTTAGTTACCAGTTACGACAATGTTTGAGTGTTTGTTTATGTATTACGCCAATAATAGAAGTTTTCTCTATTACAAGGATCTTTTTTTTTTTTAAGCCCATTTCAACTTGTGCTGCAGTTGTTTGCTTCCTTTCTGTTTCTTGCTCCTTTATGATTTCAAGAGCTCATTAAAGCTGGATTTAGTTGTGACTCGTGTCCCCTTCTTTTTCTTTTCTCCAGGCCAGAAAATTCTATGAGCAAACAAAGTTTAAAGGAGGTAAGTTTCGAATAAAAGACCTTGTGTCCACAGTGGCTCAGTGTCTGTTACTGGAAGTCCGTTATATCCCATGAACTCAGTTCTAGCAATGTCCAATGGTATATATGCTCCACAGGACCAGTGACCTCGCTCGAATGCTATTGCACTATAAGTTACAGTTTCCCCTAAAAGAAAATTTTCAGCATTAGTAGAATTAACAATGTGAAGCAGTGAGGGATATAAGATATATTCTATCTGATGCGTATAATTCTAAAGCTACGGGAAGGGTCAAAACAGGTAAAAATTCACAGAACGGCTAAGAGGGTTGTTACATCATTCACCACTAAAACACACGTTCATCCTCGAACGTAAAGAGAAAGAAAGTACCAGGGCCTGATCACGTGATGTTATGTTCCCCTTCTAAACAAACTAGAAAGATCCAGAAGACAGAAACCTATCACGACCCAAAAAAATTCGAGGATTAATTGCTGCTAGAAGTGTTGCTAGTTTGTTACATTGGCATTCTTATTAAGCTAAAGTATATTCTGGTTTTGTTTCAAAGCTTTCTTTATCTGCGATTTTTCGAAATGTGACACCTTGACAGAGGTTCATTATTGTTATTCAGAGGTTTATGCTGATCCAAGCTATAGGTCTTATGAGGCTCTGAGATTTGTGTCAGGCATTACAACTACATTCACTCCCGGGGTATGCAAATAAGATCGATGCTCATAAAGTGTAACATTTCCAGCTTCTCAATGTATTCTAATAGTGGTCTTGCTCATCTTTTCTTATTTACATCAAATATAGGCAGGTTTGAAAATAATACAGGCATACATGGAAGGCTATAGACAGGATTGGGAGCTTTCTTTTGAAAAGGACACCAGGACACGAGGTGGCTGGTAGGTCAATTTCCATAGATACTATTATAATCTTCTGATTTGTTCGCCAAGGGTCTTTCGGAAACAGCCTCTTTACCTCCATGAGGTAATGGTAAGGTCTGCGTACACTACCCTCCTCAGACACCACTTTGTGAGATTTCACTGGGTATGCTGTTGTAGAATCAGGCAAATTAAGGTTCTTTACCATGTCAAGTCTGTCTGAAGGCTTTATTGTCTATACAACTCATTCAAACTAAGCAGCTTACTTGACTCGGATACAAGGAATCCATAAAATAGATACATAGCTAAACAAAAGCAGATTGTATTACACAAAAGGTTACTTTCTCTCCCTTAAGGAATAAAACAATCACACTAGAACAATCAATACATGAACCTCTATCATAGGCAAAAGGTCATATTCCTTAAAGTTCCTTATCAATCTATGTATTTTTGTTTTGAACAAAAGACCAAAATGAGAGACAGAGAGAGAACGAGTGGCAGAGAGCATAAAAAGAATAATGAGACAGAGAGAGAACGAGTGGCAAAAAGCATAAAAAGAATAAAATCAAAATATAATTCACACACCGTGCATCTCGAGGAACAAAAGTAAATTTTCCTCCAGGACTAGCCCACATGGAAAATTCATAGATGGCTGCACTCGATTGATCAACTCCGTAAGGCACACGTCTTGCCGATAGACCATCGACAACAGAACCATCACTGTCCAAAATGTCCAAAGGTATATTCTCAGGCAAACCCTCAATGCTACTAAATGAGCTTGATTCAACATGGACATGACCCTTCAAAAGATAGCTCTCGCCTTTCAAATAGATAGGCTACAAACAGAAGAAAGTAAATGAGAAGACATGCATGATAAATGAACTAGTAGAATAGAAAAAATTCTAACTTCAAAAGGATCATACCGAAAGGTTAGATGTGTCAATGATCACAGATGAACTCCCAAAAGAAATACATGAATTTGGAAAGCTCAGCTCATGCACTCCCGGAGATTCTACGCACACGTAAAACCCACTAAACATGTTTCTTTCTCTCTTTATTTTCTTCATTTTAGGGTTTCTTACCCATTCCTTTAAACTTCATCTCAAATTTAGAAACTTCACCCCAATCTATGGCCCTTCCTCTTACCCAATCCTCAGATGCCTTATTTCCTTCTATAAAAATCGACATCGACTATTGGACTGGTACACTCAACTTTTATCTGAATCCCCAACACAAACCATTCTAGTTCAGCGATTCGGCGCTCCTCAGACCATAATCACAGCTAATCCGGATAACGTTGAGTACATTCTCAAAACGAATTTTATTAATTATCCAAAGGGGAAGTCGTTTACGGATATTCTAGGCGATTTTCTAGGGCGTGGGATATTCAACGTGGACGGGGAGCTGTGGAGTGCCCAGCGTAAATTGGCTGGCCATGAATTCAGCACAAATTCATTGAGGGAGTTTGTCGTCAAAACTCTAGAAGAAGTAGTCGAAACCAGGCTTGTTCCGTTGTTAATTCAGGCAGCTAAATCTGGCAAAGTGTTGGACTTGCAAGACGTGCTTAGGCGTTTCGCCTTTGATACAATTTGCAAGGTGTCCCTTGGTACTGACCTGCACTGTTTGGATGATTTTTATAGAAGGAAATAAGGCATCCGAGGATTGGGTAAGAGGAAGGGCAATAGATTGGAGTGAATTTTCAAAATTTGAGATGAAGTTTTAGGGAATGGGTAAGAAACCCTAAAATGAAGAAAATAAAGAGAGAAAGAAACATGTTTCTAGCAAAGTGGGTGTTAGAGTGAATGAGTTTTGTAAGATTGAGGGATAAGTGGTTCTATTTATATTTGTGGAAATTTCCACACTTAACTTCTCAACATTACATACATACACAAGGTAAATTTCCGTCCCTTCGTCTTCTCAATCTTGATACAAAATTTATATGCACCAAGTGACTCAGAATTTTCTTTAAAGGCTCCGTTAAATAACTCGTCATTGTCTTAGAATAGCTCGAAGCTTCATGCTCTCTGACTAGTTAGTTTTCGACTTTACTTCTCAACACCATTTAGATTTCACTAAATCAGGGTACTCCCCAGTTGATTTTGGGAAAATTACTTGACAGAGCAAACATATGCCTGTTTACCCGAAATAGTGAGAGATTTACAAGTTGTAATACATAATGAGAGTTTGAGTTTTATCAGTTTCGCTCTGACTCGCTCTGATACAGGTGAACAAATACAATAGATAGTGAATTGATACAAAGCGAATCGATACAATGTATCACGAGTTTTTTTAAAGTAAATTATTGCTACATGTGGTAATTAGCTAAACTATCGCTATGATTGGTAATTAAGGCTCAAAGTTCCGCTATTTTTGAAATTTAGTCATGATTTTATCATATGAAACTTGGATAATTCTTGTTTCATTTTATCTACTTGATTGTGGCAGGACAAAGAAGCAGGTGATGATCCAGATATAAAAGAGATCTTGAATGCTTGTTGTGTACAAGGCTAATTAATCAAGACAGTCTATATATTATGTGTATATACAGATTACAGACACATTATCTAAGTGTATCATTGTATATGTGTATCATAATTAAACAGAAAGAAAATCAAGATGCATCCCTTGTTCTATTACATTGGTTAGATTTTTCGGAGGAGTTAATTGTTCGAGGCCGAGTCAGAGTCAGAATTTTAATTTTAAAACTTCTATTTTAGGAAGATGACTTTAAGCATTGATAATTGAGTTCTAAATGTAATTTGTGTACATATTTAATGAACTTTCTAAATTAAACTGTTTAATGAACTTTTTAGTTACACAATATATTTATTTTTAAAAGTATATAATACCATTTGTATTTATGTCACTATAATGAAGTGAATTGATAAGAAGCAACTCTTTCTTTTAAATAAAGAATAACACACTATGTTTATTAGAGCAAATTGGATGATCGGGCTTAGAGCTGCCCCTATTTATTTTTTTGCGTCACTTGATATGGCAAGCAAACGTGAAAGATGGAGTGAATGACTTGATCAATGAATATTTGATTCTTTCTTCAATGTAGAATGGATTCACACCTAAAGCAGAGAAAGAGATATCTTGTCAGAGGACCAAGCCTCTTTTCTAAAGAATCTTGATCAATGAATATTAGTAACTCGATTTTTACATTTTTCTAAAAAATCTTGATGGTTTTTAAAGTAACATGTGATTGAATGTGCACTAATTCAAAATTTGGAAAAAAATTTAAAAAATAGAATATTGCAAAATAGAAGGAAAAAAATAGTAGAAATTTTAAAAGCTTGATGGAGCAGAGTAAAAGTAGGAAGAACCTAAACACAACATGACAATATATGTTAAATTTAACGAATTAAAATTAATATTTTCCTCCCATCTCGCTCGATTTTTCATCTTGTAATTTTTACGTGTTTACTTCTTTATACTTCGAACCCCCTCAACAAAAATCCTGAATCCGCCACTTGGGACTGTGTTGGCTTTTAGTATGATTCTGATGCGATTACTTTGTCAAGATGGCTGGAAGATAGCTGCCGCTCTTATGGGAAGACACAGGTCCGCTTTCGAGTGAGTTACCATTGGAATATATTAAATGTTGTTGCAAAAGAAAGTATTTTTAACTAATACTTACTCTAAATAGATAGAGACAAAATGGAAAAAAATTGAATTGTAATTTTCAGAATATCCAATATAGGAATTGACATAGTCACATATAGGGATATAGGGGTATTTGTGGTTCGGTTTGGATTGATTATTGGTTAAAATCGAAACCAAATCAATCTAGTCAGTTTTTTAAATTTCTAAAATCAAACTAAATTAAACGAAAAAAATAACTGTCAATTTGGTTATTGTCGATTTAGTTCTGATTTTTTGATTTTTTCGATTTGAAAGTAGTAAATTTTTTGAGGACATACGTATCTCGATAGACACAAACTAGTACATGAACAATCCATAGGAAAGCTACTGTTGGTTCAATTAAGCAATACTAGAGTTATTATTCCACGAATAATGCGATTAAATTAAGAGAAAGCGTGACTATCTTATGTGAGGTAAGGTAGGTAAAGACTAAAATAATGGATTTTGATGGACTTGGACTACGGATTGTAATAATTAGGCTAAAATTTAAGTGTTGAATTTGAGAAAACAATCAAATTAAATACTTAAATCAATCAAGATTTAATAAATTATTTATATTTTATTTATGAATAATATATATATGTCAATTATAAAATTTTCACCTAATTTTTCCTTTTCAAAAATAAATAAGAAGGGAGGTCCAAAACATATTGGGCCTGGCATTCCAAATCCTTGTGAATATAGGAAAGTCCTGCTTCGTCCCTCCCTATTATAAAACGCCCTCAAATTCTCTGTATTTGCCCTAGAATCCTCTTCATCTTCTTCCAATCTATTAAGCTATGGCGGACTGGGCAGGATTGCCCCATGACCTCCTTGTTCTGATTGCTAAGCGTGTTAAAGTGATTGAAGATTACATTGCTTTCGGTTGTGTTTGTAATTCATGGCAAACAGCTTCTACCAAGGACAATTTCGATGTGCTTTCTCCCCAACTTCCTTTGCTAATGCTCCCTGATGATGATGAAAAAACTTATTATCGAGAATTTTACTCTCTTTCCAAAGGTAAAGTCTCACGCAAATTATACCTCCCTGACGCTAAAGGGCGAGATTGTTTCCCAACTCATCACATGGGATGGCTTCTCACCCAATCATTAGACGGAGAAGAGGTCAATTTGTTCAATCCTTTCTCCGCTACCAAAATTCATCTTCCTAACCAATTCGCGTTAAGAGCTTTGCAGAATCCTGACGACTTAATGGAAGGAGGACATGAGTTCTATCAGCATATCAAACTGGCTACTTTATCTGCCAATCCTTCTTTTACATCTGATTATGTACTCGTAATTTCATACAACACAGATGTTAATTATTTGGCTTATTGGCTACCTGGAGATATCAATTGGACTCTATTTGACATGGATGAAAGACATGGTGGAGTCTGCAATATGACTTACTACAAGGGTAAATTTTATCTTCTTACTTGGGGAGCTGAAATCTGGGTTGTTGATGTCCAAAGTCGTGATCGACGCGTAGAGTCGCACTTGATTTATCTTAACGATAACAAGGACTTGTTTCGACATTCAATTCAGTACTATCTAGTTGTCGTAAACGATGCACTCTTATTTGTTGCCAAATTTGGTAGAAATCGCTCTAATGAAAACAGTGCCGTGGACACTTTTAAATGTGAAGTATATGAATTAGATGAAATGAAGTGTAAATTGAAACGGATTCACAACTTGGGAGATTCAACAATTTTTTTGGGTCTTAATGGAGCAACTTCCATCGACTCCACTAAATTTACAGGAGTGATTAAGCCTAATCACATATATTTTACTGATGATTGGATTGAGCAGAACTTAATGTCTGAATGTGGTGGTGGAAAAGACACAGGAGTTTACAATCTTGAAGATGGAAATATTGAATATTTTATCCTGAATTATCACTAAGTTGTATTTGCCCGCCAACTTGGGTAATACCATCATTGTGATGCCAACTTGTATGAGGAGCTATTGTGCTATATGTTCAGTAATTTATTTATTTTTGTTATTTTTGCAATTTATCATAAAGTTAGGTTCTAGTATTTGTTTTCTTTCGTGATTTCAATCAATAAGCTATGATTGGTAATTAAGGCTCAAAGTTTCGCTATTTTTGAAATTTCGTCATGATTTTATCATATGAAACTTGGATAATTCTTGTTTCATTTTATCTAACTTGATTCTTGCAGGACAAAGAAGCTGGGTATGATCCAGATATAAAAGAAATCTTGAATGCTTGCTGTGTACAAGGCTAATTAATCAAGAGACTCTATATATTATGTGTATATACAAACACATTATCTAAGTGTATCATTGTATATGTGTATCATAATTAAACAGAAAAAGGAAATCAAGATGCTTCCCTTGTTCTATTACATTGGTTAGATTTTTCACATAGGAGGAGTTAACTGTTCGAGTCAGAGCCAGAATTTTAATTTTATAACTTCTAAATTTTAGGAAGACGACTTTAAGCATTGATAATTGGATTCTAAATGTAATTTGTGTACATATTTAATGAACTTTCGAAATTAAACCGTTTTAAGAAAAGAAGCTACTTGACTTGGCTGAACCCGTATCTAGTACACAATATATTTATTTTTTAAAAGTATATAATACCATTTGTATTTTATTTTTAATTGCGTGCAATGTCACTATAATGAAGTAAATTGATAAGAAGCAACTTTTTCTTTTAAATAAAGAATAACACGATATGCATGTTTGTTAGAGTGAATTGGATGATCGGGCTGAGAGTTGCCCCTACTTTCTCTGCGTCATTTGATATGATAAGCAAACCTGAAAGATGGAATGAATGACTTGATTAATGAATATTTGATTCTTTCTTCAATGTAGAATGGATTCACACCTAAAGCAGAGAAAGAGATGTACTTGTCAGAGGACCAATCCACTCGAACAAAGCGAGATTAGTGGAATGCAACTTCTTGACTAATGAGCTTCAATATGAGTTTCAAGAAAAGTATACAAAGCACACTAACCTAACTTAATGAAGGTGACTGCCATCACCTTGCAGGAAAAAGGACAAATTGAGCCCTAGTGGTCCTTATCTTATCACGCCACACATGGAGATATCTCAAATAGGTCAAATAGGTAAATTGGTCTGTAAAGATGGGGAAAAACATCTATCGTTTAAGTTTGTCATCACATACTGGGAGTGAGGAATGAGTAACTTTTATATAATATGGTGATTAGTATATGCATTATTTTTTCTAATACATTCGATCAAACGACCCCTTAAAAATTTGCGTATACACACTCACCATGCTGTCTTAATGATTTGTCGAGTTATGTCTGTCTCCATTTATGTTTTTCTTTCCTTATACAATTTTGGACTATTTATTCTTTAGATTGAGGGAGTATGGGAAACAACCTCTCTACATGGTAATATTTGCGTATACTCTATCCTTCTCATATCCTACTTTGTGGGATTACATTGAATATATTGTTGTTGTTGTCCCAATATAAAAAAGGATAGTTCGATGCACGATAATATTTGATAAATTTAAATGACCTAAATTATTCGAGAATCTATTTAAGGACTATTTTGAACCTATACCGAACATTAGGGACCATTTTTGCCATTTTCTCTACTTTAACCAATGCCCTAAGCACTACAGTATCTCTCCTCACGTTTATTGTCATTTCCCGCTTCACCTAATCCCCGTCGCCGATGGCCGACAAGAAGAAACGCCGGCGAGCAGCTCACGACTCCGATTCCGACTCCGAAAGCCGGCCTTTCCAATCCAAGCTCAAACCCGACTCCGTCATCCTCCAAACCCTAAAAGCACTCAAATCCTCCTGTTCCACCACTTCCAAAACCCTATCCCTCTCCGACGTCGGCCTCTCCTCCACCTGCCGTGAAGTCGCCGACCTCCCAATCGATGAGGTACAGTCCGAAATTGAATCGTTAGCGTTTACTATAGCTAAATCCATACTCTCCGGTGAAGGTTTCTCTTTCTCCGTCCCTTCCCGCTCCGCCGCTAACCAACTGTATGTCTCCGAGCTCGACCGCATTGTTCTCAAAGACAAATCATCAGCTCGCAACTTTGGCAATGTGTCTACTGTTCGTAAAGCAACAATTACTCTTAGAATCCTTCAGCTTGTTCATCAGCTTTGCACCAGTAACATTCATGTCACAAAGCGTGATCTTTTCTATACCGACGTTAAGCTGTTTCAGGATCAGACGCAATCTGATGCTGTATTAGATGATGTTTCTTGTATAGTTGGATGTACTAGGTCTAGTCTGAATGTGGTTGCAGCTGAGAAAGGAGTTGTAGTTGGCAGGTTGATTTTTAGTGATAATGGTGATATGATTGATTGTACGAAAATGGGAATGGGAGGGAAAGCTATACCTCCGAATATCGATAGAGTTGGTGATATGCAGAGTGATGCATTGTACATTTTGTTAGTCGAAAAGGATGCTGCGTTCATGAGATTGTCTGAAGATCGGTTTTACAATAGATTTCCTTGTATAATTGTGACTGCAAAGGGTCAACCGGATGTGGCAACTAGGTTGTTTCTGAGGAAGATGAAGATGGAGCTGAATTTGCCGGTTTTAGCATTGGTGGATAGTGATCCTTATGGGTTGAAGATTTTGTCAGTGTATGGGTGTGGATCAAAGAATATGTCGTATGATAGTGCGAATCTGACTACACCGGATATCAAGTGGTTGGGTATTAGGCCAAGTGATTTGGACAAGTATAAGATACCAGAGCAATGTAGGTTGCCAATGACTGAACAGGATATTAAGACTGGGAAAGATTTGTTGGAGGAGGATTTTGTGAAGAAGAATCCCGCGTGGGTTGAGGAGTTGAATTTGATGGTGAAGACTAAGCAAAAGGCTGAGATTCAGGCGTTGAGTTCGTTTGGATTTCAGTATCTGTCTGAAGTATATTTGCCATTGAAGCTGCAAGAACAAGATTGGCTATGAGAATTCAAATCTTGTTGTTTAATTGCTTCGATCTTCTTGTGTTAATTTTAAAGTTAGACGTGTATCTCGTTTTCTGTATTTTTATGGGAGTTTATTGTTGTGTTAATTCACATTTATAGTTAAAACGTACCTTGGTTTTTTATGCTTTTGATTGGATTGGTTTGATTGCACTTTTTTTGAGGCAAGTAGGGTTAACTTTTGCGTACATCCTATCTCTCCAGACCCTACTTGTGACTTGTGGGATTACACTGGATATGTTGTTACAGGATGCTTTTCGGAAACAACCTCTGTACCCCCACAAAGGTAGGGGTAAGATTTGCATATATCATATCTCCCAGAGTGCACTTGTGGGATTACATTGGGTTATGTTGTTGTTATAAGATGCTCACTTTGATCCATGGTGATGCAGCTTTAGCTCTAATAGATGCAAAAATGATGCGAGAATATAGGAAGGTTAAGAAACAGCTACATATATTGTGGCGACTACCACAAAAATTTGATGAGAATGCTAAAATACACATGAGAAGAAGAGCACAAGAATAAGAACACATCATTTTTCTTCTGTTACTTTTGTTTACATTAGATGGTAAAATGTGGAGTTTTCAGCATGTGGTATCGTTGAGTATACAATGTTTATTCGCCTGCTAAAGAATAAGGATGAAAGAACTCTACAAAAAAAAAAAGAGTTCATACAAATATATACATAACATGTTTCGTATATCATTGCACTACAGAAGCATCTAACCTTCTTGTTAGCCAGGATTGCAGTGATTCCTTAGTTATCCTCATTTTTTGCAAAACCACTGGTTTCCTAGTTGGAGAGTGCACATTTGCTCGTAAAATAACTCTTTCTGCATTTTCTTCCATGTTTGAATGCTTGTCCGGATGGTTTATCCCATCCTGGTTTCTGTCATTTCCAATTCTAGATGCTGCTGAAATTACCTCAAGTCCCAAATCATGTTGCAAAAGTTTTACTATTGCTTCCTTAACAACACTTTCTTGTCCGACAGCACGTATACCTACTTCTTGGACTCCTAGAAAGATTTGCACGTCTTCTTTAATTGAATCTCCTGCACGATAACCACGATGTTTTCAAATTGATTGTAATGTTATGCATGTTTGTACTATATGGATTGTTGATCACAACCACTAGTATGTTGAAATGCACCATTTGACCAATCAAATAGTAGTAAAAGGCTGATGTTATCAATGAGCTTATAGTATAGTCCTTGGTATAATTTATTCTGAAAGAACTGAAGTTAGAAAGGTCAAAATTTTTAAGTTCATCCATTTTCTCACCTGCAGTGTACTTCTCTCTGATCATTCTCAAAACCGCAAGAACCACAATCCGAGCTTCAACCTGGCAGTATGCAAAAAATTGATGGGATAAATCAAGAATTATGTTTAACCGTGAAAGTTCTCCAGAAAGATCAGATGGTTGTGTAAGAGAGAATGATATTTGGAGGGCAAAATGATAAAAATCACAACAGTAAACTCAGAGACATGCATTTAATTTACTTCTCCAAAAATCTTTTATGTGAATATCTAGCTAGATACCATCTTTACCTTACTAAGCCCCCGGAGATTAATGGATATGCTATTTGCACTGTCCTTCTGCAAGTGTTCTGCAACTTTGTCGAGAATCATACTTTCAGGCCCTAAATCGGTTCTATTACGAGTGCTGAAGTTGTATTTCCTCTGATTGCCATTCTGGATTACGCCTTCACACCACTGCTCAATTAATTGCTTGAGATAGTAATCATTGGGTTTATACCTGCAATGTTTATGAAGAGCAAATTGAAATTCAATAGCTACAGAGAGTATCATTAAGTGGATTCTTTTCTCAGACCAATGGTAATGCCGATGGTACAAAATGATAACCAAAACACAAACAAAAAATTAATTAAAAAAATAGATGAGTTTCATCTGCAACTGGAAATAGACGCGCCTCCTAACTGAAACTTGTACATGCTCTACATATAGTTTAGCAAATAAATAAACAAATTAGAAAATCTACCTACTGATATAAATTGGGACTTCCATGGTGTCTTAAAACAAAATAATGAGTAAACTAAGACGTCCCAACAGGGAATGTTGTCTCAAAATCCTTCACTACACCTCCCAAAGCATGGTTTTCACATACTTACCTCTGATTCATGTCTCTTTTATCCCAAGACCCCCTTGAAATTGCACATTCACAAATCAACACTCCACATGCACCCAAAATGGAAATTAACAAACTGAATTCCAAAGTTAACAGCTCCACAGACACCCAGCCCCTTGATAATGCTTTTCAAGTCAACTTGAGGGGAAAAGTATAATCATAGACGACCTAAGCGTTAAAGATACTTTTGGGAACTATGTTGCACTTAGTTTTTAGGATATCCTGAGAAAGGATTTCCAACTGTTAATGGTACCATGTGGTTCAATAAGCCACATTGGATTTCTGTTGCGTGATCAGGATGAACTCTCTTGATACTACACAGGAGTGAGTCTGCACTAGCAAATGGCCTATGAAGATGATCATTACTGCTTCAATTACTTCCTCAAATTCTTACGATTTCCACCGTCTTAGTGCATGTTCTTTTTGTTTTGTACAGAACAGGCTCTGTTGCCCATTTAACCCGTCACAAAGGGAAAGAAGAACACAGTTAATTTTAAGAGAATAAAAAATCAGGTGTCAACAGCAAATACCCATCCCCCAAATGGAACGTCTCAGACTGCAATGGAACATCGAAGTATAAGAAGAGGGGCAACAACAACATACCCAATAAACCCCACAAGTGAGGTCTGAAGAGGGTAGAGTATACGCAGACCTTAACACTATCTCGTGGAGGTAGAGAGGCTGTTTTCGAAAGACCATCGGCTCAAGTGCAGCAAATCCAAATACAAAGAAGAAGACAATGTATGGGGGAACAAGAATAACAAAATAGTGCAAAATCGAAACATAGTAAACAACTGACCATGTTGGATATCAAATGCAAGAGCTACAATAATATGGCTAGTACAAAGCAAAGCAGTGCGGAACATATATGCAAGAAACCGTAACAACAACAAGAAGGTGTGATCCCCAAAACACATGAATAGGTGATATCAAATACCAAAAGCCAAAGACTGTATGAATAGGGTAATACTACGACCGACACGGTGCTCTATACAACCACCAAGCCAAATACATGAATGACCTAGTAATAAGACAACTCTTAACTACCTAATGACCTTCTACCCTTATCCACGACCTCCATACCCTCCTATCTAAGGTCATGTCCTCAGTAAGATGAAGAAGCGCCATATCTTGTCTAATCACCTATTCCCAATAAATTGATAGAAGGTACAAACAAATTGATTAGACTAGCACACTCCATGAATGCTTGTTAGAGAGAGTGGTTGATCTCGTAACTACTAGTTTACATGATACTGATGCAAGAATGTGTATGCTCATTAGAGAATATTAGTAAATCGTCTCATAGGAAGAAAATTGTATTCAATCCCTATTAACTTGTTGATGATATAACCGAGTTGCGCAAACTGTTCATTGTTGGTGCCGCACATGTGTCAACATGACATGGATGTGGAATTCGTACCGGATATGGTTAATCAATTTTTGGTACTTTTAACCAAAATTGATCGAGAAATTTCAAATAAATATAATATTTCTTTTTTTGAGAAGGTCAGATAAATATAATATTTCTGAAATCAAAACAAAAGCTATAAGGTGAAATCATAATTTAGGCATATATTTTTCCGGCACTCTCTCGCTGGGGGAGCCTTTCCATTATATATGTAAATAAATTAAAAGCATTGTTATTTTTAATTTGTCTTTAGATTCAATTGAACATTATTACTTTGCAATTGTAGTGGAATGAATAAGAAGACAATTTTTGTTGGGATTCATGATAGTCTCATAATAGATTCACATAATATGAAAACACTATATAAACGTATCAATACACGTGACAAATAGACTCATAATGTGAAAACAATAAATAAACATGGCAATACATGTGACAAATAAACTCTTACTATGAAAACATTAAATAAATGTGACAATACACGTGACAAAGACTTGCACACCTACTATAAATTACACAAGCATTCCTCTCAAAATTGTTCAGGCTTATTCAGCCAATACATCTTATTTTCTTTAATTATTTGTTTTTGCAATGGATAAAACGAAGGGTAGGCAAAAGATTGAAATGAAGTTGATTGAGTCCAAGGAAGCACACACCGTTACTTTCTCGAAAAGAAAAAAAGGCTTGTTCAAGAAAGCGGATGAGTATTCAACTCTGACTAGAGCAGATGTTGGTGTTTTACTCTTTTTCACCAAGTGGAAAACCATATTCTTGTGGCTATACAAGTATAGAAAACATAGCTGATAAATTTCTTGAATTGAAACTAGACGATCGCCAAGGTGATCACGCTGATGTGGGCAAATCAAATGTCTTTGAGGCATTTGAAGATCTTCGTAAAGAAGGACAAGCATTGGAAGAGAAAGAAATAGAGCGCCCTCGCTTAGCTATATTGTCAGACAAACACATGTTGGAGCAGTACATGGTATTCAAGTCGCGGTTGGACAAAGTTAAAAAGGAAAGAAAAGGTAAGTATGTCCCTGAGCCAGAAGAGGAGGAGAGTTCTTGAACTCATAATTATCATGGAGGTGGTAATTGGAATTCTTGAATTTGGAGTTGTGTTTGGAGGAAGCTATCGAGTCTTTTAATATACTTGAGTCTTGTCTTTGTTATTAAGTTAATTGTTGTTAGTATTCAGTCGTCCAGTTATCTAAGGCTTTAGACGACAAAAAAGAAGGTTATGGAGTTCTTGTGTTATTAAGTCAGTCATTTCATTTGTTTCATCATATGTCTTTAATGATGTTTTGTGTTGCCTAGATTGATAAATTAATTGAAATCGTTCATTGAACTAGTAAACAGTGTGAAGTGATGGATCAAAGAAAACCCTAGTGCACTCATTAGTGTTCTTTTATGATTCCATCTCCAGAGAGATTGATGCATTTACATTTTACACCACGACTAGCTCTCTGTGAGATGGTGGGAATCTATGTAAAGATGAGTTTATCTAATATCTATTGACGTTATAGACATATTCAAGAGTTCAAGAGCGATATCAGATCAGGTTTGTCAACCCG